TTGACATAGAATTTATTTTCTTTCACTGTACAGAGTTATACAACTCTGTACACACAGTGTACATTTCACTACAGTATCATGAGAAAGTCTCTCTCTGACCTTTTTCAGCTATGACCTAGTGAACTTCTCCTGACCTCTGAACTACCTTTTAACCCTTAGAAGTCACTGTTATAGCTGGCAGTAACAGAAGCATGTTGAGATTTTATAGTATTTCTTTTTTTATTTATAGCTTTTTGAAACAAATGAAAAAAATGTGTGGAAAGTGCAGATTCTGCACTTTCAATCCAAACCACAGTAGTGTTTGTAAGTGAAGGAGAAGATATTTTATCATGATTTAAATTTGATGAAAAGTAACTGTGTGTAGAGTTTAATGGAAAAACTACATCCTATATGTTATTGCAATGTGTGTCATTTTTACATAGAAACAAATGTAAAAAAGGTATAGACTCATATCTGTCAGTACAGAATGTAAATAGTTAATTACATAATTAAGTACACAGTTGGTCTGTTCTTAATGAAATGTCCACACAATGTACAGTGCAGTGGTGCAAAAAATTGGATGTTGTAAGATTTTTATGTTTTGGTATAATTTTGACAGCAGCAATATGTTGTCAGTTGTGATTATCTTGATGCAGTTGGAGGCAGTGACCCACATGAGCCATAGCCAAGGTCTCTGACCACTGAGCAGAAATTTATTCATTCATTCATCAGTGTTTGAACTTGTCATGGGGTGTTCTGCACTCACTGAACAATACTGGCTGCTCCTCCGTGGCCTGGGGTCAGCTCGGAGGCTGTTACTGTCAGCTCCAGTGATGGAGAGACTGGGTGGCGTGGTTGCTTTGTATAGCAAAAGTTTGGAAATGTGCGTGTTGTAAAAGTGCATATAGAAAATGTTTGATCTACAGTCTGAAGCCACATCTCACTGTTTTCATACACTGACTTTCACTCTGAATCCAAATCACATGGGAACTTTGTGACTGGAGGGTGGCACAATAGGGGACTCAAGTGTTCATTTCGAATTTTATTGCACTGTAAAACATTTTAATGAAGTGAAAGTGGCTTTAATGTTGTTCAGTTTGCTGTGAGTGTGGGAAAATAGCAGAAAGACAGTCAGAGCGTGCTCTCACGTTCAGGGTTGGGAAGGTTATGTCTAAAATGACAAATTACTGATGACTGGGGCTTTAACAATTAGTTAACAAAGTTGATTAGTATGTTGTTTACTTAAAAAGTGCTTTAATACTTTATAATGTTCATATGATCCACACAGTCATTCTGACAGAGTGTAATACACTACAGGAAGTGTAGGGGGCGATATGGCTTCTTTTATTTCATTTAAAATGCACTCTTTAACGTTCATATGATCCACACAGTCATTCTGACAGACTGTAATACACTGAAGAAAGCAAGAAGACAGAACTTTGAATCATTAAAGAGAGGAACCAGAGAAGGCTGAGTAGTTTGATTAGTCGATTAATCAAATTAATGGTTAATATGGTTAACAGATTAATCAGTTATACAATTCATTGTTAGTTATGATTCATGCTGTAATGCCTTGATACTGGTGTTGTGGGCTAGTCCAGCTTTTAATAGGCAAGAGTCAGGCTGCTAGTGGGTGTGTTAAGAGTGAGTGGTCAGGCATAAACCGTGTGCAGGAGCAGCTGCCCGAGAAAAAGTCTTTCACAGCAGATATTGGGTATTATGGTCTGTGACTGGACTGGATTAACAGGCTTTCTGATGTACCAATAAACAGCTGTGTGGAGTGATTTCACACTGGGGACTGCGTGCAGAGAAAGAGCTATTGTTACAGTCATGCAGAGATAAATACAGACATAAACACGTGCATATACACATGCATGCACACACATACATGCACTCCCACGCATCATGCATAACCTTATCAAACCTTACATCTTGTCAGTGATACATTCAGTGTCTTTGTTTTGTTTAACCGTGTTAAGTTTTATTATTATTTAGTGGCCAGTTTTATTACATACTTCTATAACCTGAGACAAGCTCAGCTTCTTTGCACTGAAGTCCCCGTAGTTACTGAATAATAAGCCTTAGTATGAAATGAGCCTGAGATTTTAAGGATTAGCTGAATAAATCTGTCCCCAGAGTAGTTGGTGTGTGTGAATGTCCATGTGGGTCAGCAGAATGAATCAGCATGTGGAATTGGAGCTTTCTGTGAGCTACTGTGTTTCCGATCACTGTATAAAAGGACCTCCATGATGCTTTTATTAGGGATGCATCAATATATTTTTTTTTTAGACAGAATACTAGTATGACAGCATGTTTTTTAGTACTGATACGGATTCAGATGCTATAATGAGTAACCTATCTAGCATTAAGTAGCTGTTAGTGTAAATAAGTGCAGTGTACCTTAAAATTAAATCAATAACATCTAGTTGATTTTAAATGAGGTAGCTATGCTACATTATTTACGTTAGATTGAGTAGCGCTGCAGTGGAGAAGAGCAGGTTTTGTTCCACATAAGAAAAGCTATGTATGTTCCATAGTTTTGATCCTCACCTGTATCTTCTATCATCGGTCTCTTGTAGCACAGTGACGGCAAGAATCCGAGGCTAACACATCCGAGGAGCTCACTTGTGGAGTTTACGTTTGAAGCACTTGGATTGGCTGGTTGAGCTGTAGCTGAATGTCCTCTAAAGCCACGTAAACACTGTGTGATTTTAGAAATCTTGTTCTTTGGTGACTCACACTGTACATTAAAATAGACCATCATGTTCAGATAAAGCTACGATTTATATACTCACACTGTATAAAAACGCTCCCTCTGACTGACCTGCTACATGAAACGCAGCCTCTGCAGACAGCTCTGTCCACGAACGATTATCAATAAAGCTTATTCACTCAGAATAACACGCTGCACACCGAGTACACAAAACAGTGAGTAAACTGTCATACGTAGACTTTAGTATCATATGTTGACATTTCCACCTCTGTGTTGTTAGCCTATGTGTCTCCACCCATATTGGGGAAGTGGTTGTGATTGTGTATGTTTGAGTTTGAAAATTTGAGCAGACTGTTTAAGTGATGTTAGGTCTTACAGAGTACAATATATACATCATCAAATATTGATTTGGAATAATTGTCATATTATTTGTCAATATCAGTATATCATCGTGCATCTCTAGATATAGCACTTCAACCAAGCAGATTGTAAAAGCTGTCTCCAAAACCCCCGAACACACCACAGACGACTGAATTTATGTCTGAGCTCACAGAGAAACTAGGTCGGTTCCTCAAGGCACCCACACGTCCATTTCTTCAGTGAGATTCCCACTGAGTATTCCTTTGGGGACAGTTATTACACAACCACTGAGTATCCCACTGCGGACAGCTGCACTCACACAAACACACAAACACACACACACACACACACACACACACACACACACACACAAGTGAACACATCACCCCATGGCTTCCTCACATTCTGTAGGAAGTGATGTCTTCTGCCTTTTAGTCTCTTGTGTTCCCATTTGGAAAGCAAGGTTTCCGTAATGAGAGAAGAGTCTCTGTTTTTGTTTGGGGATTTTGAGTTTTCATTCCTGCAGAGGTTGAGTGTTTTCTCTGCAAGTTCTTTATCTCTAATGATGCTTTCTCTCTAAATAGATAGATAGAACTTTATTGATCCCGAAGGGAAATTGCAGTGTTTCGGTAGCAAGACATATAATTGCACATAAACTTATATATACTATGCATAAAATAAAAATACAAAATAGAAATAAAACTAGACACAAGTTAAAGTATAAGAGAAGTAAAATAAAAGTATATGCGGCAGATTTTTGTATTTACATGAAAGCAGGCACTGAGTGTTATGAGGTAAACTAAAAGCACAATGAGTACAGACATAACTAACTAGGAGTTGCATCAATATTACAGTGTAAAGGGCATAGTGAAAGTGTCATTACACTAGCAGTTGTGATATGTTGCACAGTGTGTATTAATGAGGTTCAGCACAGTTCAGACAGCAGAAGATCAGTACCGTTTCTGCATTAAGGAGACTTGTTGTAGAGCCGTATAGCAGTGGGTAAGAAAGATCTCACATGACGCTCTTTAACAGCTGGAACAGTCAGCCACTGAATGTGCTTCTCTGTTTATCCAGTGTAGCTTGCAGGGGGTGTGAGGTGTTATCCAATATGGCTAACAGCTTGTTGAGCCAGCCTTCCTAATAAGTTTGTTTATTTTGTTCAGAGCACTTTTGTTAATGCTGTTGCCCCAGCACACAACAGCATAGAATAAAGCACTCGCTACAACAGACTGGTAGAATGTCCATAGGAGCTTAGTGCACACACCAAAAGACCTCAGCCTCCTCAGGAAGTAGAGACGGATTTGGCCTCTCGTACACTGCGAGAGTGTTACAGCTCCAGTCCAGCTTGTTGTCCAAGTGCACACCCAGATACTTGTAGCTCCCAACCACCTCCACATCAACTCCATCAATGGTGGCTGGTGACAAGGCAGGTTTGGACTTCCTAAAGTCCAGCACCATCTCCTTAGTCTTACTGATGTTTAGGTGCAGCTGGTTCAGCTTACACCAGTCAACAAAGTCCTTCACCAGCTTCCTGTATACCTCCTCCTGTTCATTCCTAATACACCCCACAATGGTTGTGTAATCCCAGAATCTTTGCAGATGACGTGACTCTGTGTTGTACCTGAAGTCAGAGGTGTACAGGTTGAACAGGAATGAAGCTAACACAGTCCACTGGGGTGCCCCAACACTGCACATAGCCTTGTCTGAGACACAGCCCTGCAGTCGCACATACTGGGGTCGTCCAGTCAGATAGTCCATTATCCATGCTGCAGTCGATCACAGATTAGATATCTGCCACCCAGACTGATGAGGTTTATATTTAGCAGTGTCACATACAAACTTTGTTCTCTGGAGTTACCAGTTTGTCTTATGACAATGATGCTGTATTTTTTTTGGCATAAACTCAAGTCTGAGTGAGCTCTTGTTCTGTTTTCTCTGCCCTTAGCCCTGAAGAGGTCGTTTGAGGTGGAGGACGTGGACTCCTCTTCACACTCTTCCTCTCCCCATATCCGCCGCACGCCCTCTAATGCTCAGCAGCGCAGTGCCATCTCCCCGTCCACCAGCCGGCACTACGAGCTCGGCTCCAATGGCACCAAGCCCCTCGATATCTCCAAACCCAAAGCTCGGACCCCTGAACCTGTGTCACGGCGTTCCGAGCTCTCCATAGACATCTCATCCAACAATAACGGCAAAGCCATTGATGGATCACCCAGGTATAGATCTGTACTCTGTTTGTAAACAGATACATTTGTACATGCTTCTATACTACTCTTTTAATTAAATTGTAAAATAAAGCTTGTTTTTGGCCATATTACAGAAACGTCCTATCTTTTTTTGTCTTTTTTGTCAAGATAAGATTTCTCACAAATCCATATTACAAAAGCAAATCTTAATTCGGCTGTCTTGTCTTACAGCATCTTATCTCAAGTTAGGGGATATTAACCTACTCAGTTGAATCCGACAATCAACGGTCATGTCTGTTACCTAGCAACTGACCATACACACACAGCTGAAACGTAAAGACGTAATCAAAATAATGTTAAAATGTGAGCAACAGCTACTGTTACCCTGGTTACTGGTGTAAAAAAGCTCAAAACAAAACGAAAGTGTGATAAACTGTAAGTTGTGAATACTGTGAGAGCGCCCCCTGCTGTTTATTGGAGCGTCTTCACTCTCCAGTTTCAGTCTCCATTTCCCAAACACTTTAGCCGAGTGCGCTAACGTTATTCCTCCTAATAAACAAACACACGTTCAGCTCTGTCTCCTTATTATTCACCACCATCACTGTAATATTTTCTCATCAACATTAACACACAAAAGTAACATGAGGGGACGGTGGAGGTCGAGTCTGCAGTGTCTGAGATTTTTAAAACGCAGAATTAGAAAAGAAAAACATCTCACAAATGCAAGCAGGGTTTAACAGTGTAAATAAATGTGGCGTCATTATGCTAGTAGTGAACTACGCTGCCTGACACAGCTGCCTAAAAACGATATAAATGGACGGTAAACAGAAGTTAAGACACTGTCAGCGTTTATCCTAAAGTTATGACAGTATTTAGGAGGTTTAGTCTAGTTAGGATGTTTGTGTAATACTGTTTTCTTATCTGGAGTTAATGATGAGATAATGAAGTTAGCAACTGTTATTCTGTAATAGTTGCTGTCATAATTTTTTTTTTATTGTCTGTATTCTACTACAGTGTAAGTAGCTCCTCAAGTTACATTGGTCTGTTTGTAAATATAATTCTAAATCATCCAAAATTAATCACATTGAATGGAGTAAGAGCTAAGTTGAGCTTTTATTTAAGCATAATCCTACCTCCCTTCCTCAGTGCTGGAATCGCCCGTTTTGGCCTGAAGAGGCCCGAGGCTCTGGGCCACAGCAAGACGCCAGAGACGCAGAAACACTCCGTCACATTCAGCAAGACGCTGGAGACCATCGCCCCGATCTCCCGGACACCATCCACCGTGGTCCCGCACGCCAGCTCCAAACTCCCAGAGACTACATTCAGGAGGAACGAGCCACCCAGCCCAGGTGACGGGTCGCGTCGGCCCGAGATCAGTGTCACCAAGGCAACTGAGGGTAAAGGTCAGGAGAATCATCATCATACTCCAATCACAACGAGGTGCGCCTCACCAAATCACGCCGGACGGAAGTCACCCAGCACGGATGGACACAGTAGGTTTTTGTTTGTTGTTGCTTTTTGTCTTAGAGCCATGTTAGTTCATTTGTGTAGAGTAACTGAAAACAGTTTGGATGGAATTGGGTTCTCATGGAACAGCTACCGAAACTGGAGATGTAGTAAATAAGCTGGACAGCTCAGCACCCTCCCAGAGTAAACACAACAGCTCTGCATCAAGAAGGTCACCTGTATGCCTTTCTGTCTAAAGCTGGTCACAATGGTCCGAACTCTGCTAAAGCTTCAGTAGTGCACTATGAAAAAAACAGAGCAGGAAATGCTTAACGGCAGTGTTACCTGTACATAATATTGGCAGTATCATGGTTGTATTCAAGATGGTATGCTCACCAAAGTGGCGAAGGGGGCGTTTCATTTTTTCAAGCTTGTCATTTTAATTTGTCAGATCTGAGTATTGACTCTGGTTGAGTTTGGCTGGAGAAGATGTCTCAGCTCTGTGCAAGGTGCTGAGCTGTGACCATGAGAAAGTTAGTACTGAGCCGTGACCAAGACAAAGCCATCAGCCAGTCGAAGGCTCCGGCTGTACAGAATGTGGGGCTGAGCCAGTCTGTCCAGCTGCGTGTCAGACAGATTCCACAATGAGACATTAACATGGCAGAAGCACTGACAAACAGCAGGCTTATCCCGAATTTATTAACGCTGACTGCACTTAATAATCTGATAACTGCAGAAAATTAGATTGTGTCAGTAACTGGTTCAGTGTGTTTTCATGCTCGAGTAATCAGATAACGGGGAAACTCCAGGTCTACATGAATCAGGTTATCGGATTTCTTCTTTACAGCCAGCCAATAAACTCACAGAATAAGATGCAATGTAAATGTAACGTAAAACGTTTTTTTAAAAATATTAAATTATTTAGCGGTAAATATGAATATATATAATCTATATTAGAATAAACATTTAAATCCTTCATTTTTTCAATTATGTAGTCGGTTTCAGTGTCACTCCAAAAGTGTTGTGTAGCGTCTTGCAGGTGCTGTGTTAATAACTGCTTGCTGTTTTCGGGACAGCACTCTGTTTTCACACGTGCAGACTGAGAGAAACGAAAGAAGTCAGAGTGAGAGTTTACATGCACTGAAAAACCCCATTGCTGAGCTCAAGTCCAGCTCTCTGCATCAGATGACCTAGTCAGATTTCTAGACCTTAATCCGATCTAAGAAATCAGATAACTGCTGTAATTCAGTAATGATCGGATTAAGTGCATGTAAACACACTCACTGTGAAACTGTGGATGACATTACATATGTTAGCATTGACCAAAAGTTGGTTTAAGTGAAGTGTGCTAACTTTCGATAAACACATTCATAAAATGGGTTAAGACTTACTATGCTAACATTGACGGATACTGGGCCAACATTTAGGCCTTTTTTCCACTGAAGGGCTGAACGGTTCAGAGCATGGAGGGTAACCATTGCAGTGACTTTTCTACATGGACATGGTTCAACGAGGAACACGTAAAAATCATTTTGCTGCGTTATTTCAAACCTGAAAACAAATAAATTCACTTCACTCACATAGATGTCCAATAAATCAAAGCAGTGCACTAATTTAAATCTACTATTCAATATGTCAGAACTCTAACACCAATTTCTAATTGTTAAATTAGAATTGTTAAACTGCTGAACAGAAGAGACTAGCTGTTTAGCATTAGATTAGCTAGAATGCTGCCAGCGCTGCTCATCTCAGAACAGTGAACCAATGATTAAAAACACCTGTTTAGTGGATAAAGACTCATGTCTGAGATCACAAATTCACATGTCTGGTGTTGAAGTGATAGATAGATAAAAATTACATTGTTCTGTGGTGCTTTGAGCTGTGCCCTCCTGGGTGACGTTAATGCTAGTGTAGTTAGCTGGCTACAGATAAAACCCACCGCAGTACAGGCTGTTTCAGTAACTGAGGCTCAAAAACCACCCGTTTAGAAGACAAAGAAAATGAGAGCACACTGAGAGAGGCTGGAGTTGGAGTGACAGACGGAAAGCTTGTATTTATATCTATGGGTGGTGTGTGAGTAACTATTAGCCTGTTAGCCGATAGCCACTCGTTTGTGAATTTTTCTTCAGTATATCCTGGTTCTGATTTAGGAGCACAACAGATGGAGAAGAAACCGTAACCGGTCTCACAAGTTCGGACCAGTATGGAGCAGCCCAGTACGGCCCTGAGAACCATTTGGCTCGACAGTGGAAAAGAGGCCTTAGTTTGCTACCACTGACAAACTGTAGGCTAACTTTACCCATCTCAATGTTGGCCTGTAATGGTCTAAGACAAAACCATGCTAACATAATAAGCCCAGCCGCATGTGAGCCAGACGTTAAAACCGACAGCGACAACTTGTATAATTAATTACAAGGCCTCAGTTGTAGGTTTCTGGTATTTGTATTTTTTGAAAATATGTCTTTGTGTGTTCTGCTCTTTGGGATTAATGTCCATTTTAGGGATTTAATATATTGCCGTAACTGCACCTTTAACCATAATATTAACACTACACTTTCAAACTGAGCTAAAAACTGCTCAAACAGCAATGTTTTGAGCTCATGTTTAAAAGTGTCCAGTGTCGGGGCTCTTCTAATGCTCTCTGTCAACTTGGACCATTTAAGAGCAGCATAGTAGCTAACCGCTGCTTCTCAGTTCAGTCTTTACCTTTGGCAGAGCTAACTGACTAGCTCCTAATGATCTGAGAGTTCTGCTCGGCTCATTTCACTGCAGCAGATCAGATAAATACATTGCTCCTGCACCATTAATACATTTGTTTTTTTGGGAGTCCAATTAGGAGACCATTACAGTGATCAGTCCTGCTAGAAATAAAGGCGTGGATGAGCTTCTCCTGGTATGCTTTAGTCAGAACATCTCTGATCTTGTTGATGTTCTTAAGGTGGTAAAGTGCTGGCTGGTGAAACTGAGATCAGAATCCAATAATACGCGGTATGCGGTTTCTGTTAGTACCATTGGCGCTGTCATGTTTACAGTCACTGCTAAAGTGCTAAGGCAGGAAGCAGTAGCCATGTGTAAGTATTTACTAAAACATATACTTTGCTTGACCTTAAAATATTAATAGACATAATATGCACATTGGCCAGCAAACGGTGCATGTCATAATTGTACTTGCACCTGTTTTTAACCAGGACATTTCAGCTGAGGTGTGGTCTAATTGAATATTACAGCTAGAGATCTAAAAGCTGTTTACGTCTGAAGATTTAAACATATAGCTGATGCAGTTTCTCCACGGTTTATTTGAACAGTTCTGGGTGTTGGGTATTTATCTTTGGCTGGTTTGCTGTGATGAGTGCCGATTTTCTTCTGCTCTGTTTTACTTGAGTGAGAAAAGTGTAATGAACTAAATAACATCTGAAAGGGTGCTGTTTAAAAGAGGTCACAGCAACGGGTCTGTAACCTACAATCAGTCTGTGAAGTCTACGGCCAGCTCTGTCTGTCTCTCACTCTCTCCCTCTGTTTCTCTCACTCTCTGGTTGTATGATGTAGTTTTGGCATAGGTGAAGGTTGTGGCTGGTGAGTCATGAGGAAGGGCTGCATGGAAGAATAGAAGAGAGCTCTCTGAGGGAGGGCATTACTTTGGTGTACATTTCATCATGAAAGAGCTTTTTCAGAACATCAGTGTTGAGAAACATTTTTATCCCCCCAGACAGCAGTATCGGGGGGAGAAAGAACACTTTTCTAGTTTTTCTGCGTGTTTTGATCTTATCAAGACAAAACAGGCTAGAGGTTTCTCTCCCTCGTGGAGTAAACACAGCAGCTCTGCATCAAGAAGGTTTAGTCACTCTTTACATTTATACAGCATGAATTTAGTCAGCCAGGCTGAAAATGCATAAACATATGTTTACCAGTGGTATGATGTTATTCTAACCAAGACTGCTAGTCTATGATGTGATCATGGTTTGATTGATGTGGTCTGACTGAGGTAGGGCTGGGCGATAAAACGATAACGATAATTATCGTGATATAACTTTTCCTCGATAGAGCGATACGACATGTTCGATAAATGTTCGATATAATACACCATTCTCACACTTCCATGTTCAGCGAAAGCCTTGGCGTTTTCTACTGCAAGGAAAGCGACTACTGTGCTGTCGCCAGGAGAGGGCGCACTTCTGAGTTATTCTACATGATTAGTGAGGGAGGGGGCCACGAGTAAGATGAGTCTTTAGCAACGGCTGAAACGCGGAGTTATACGTTCCTGTTTGAGCGGAGCGACAGGCGACCTGTTCTCCTGTGACCGAGTGTGAGTGACGAGGTCAGTGGTGTAACTGTACTGTCCTACAGTGAACTCACCTCTTTCTGTACATCCTAACGAGCTTTAGCAGCGTTAAATCACAATCCTCACAACTAAAGCGCTGTTGCAGCGCTCGGGCAGTCATATTTTAATATTAGTGCATTCCCAAGCAACGAAAGTGAAAGAGAGAAGTGGGTTCATATAAATTACAGCTCCGATTTAAACGAAAGTAAACTGAGGAAGCTGTGAGGCGTTGAAGAGGAGGAGAGCGCTATCTTTCCAGGCTAGCTGTTTTTAGCAGCTGGCTAACTTGAAGCAGCGCTCTGTCACTCCAAAACACGGAGAATTGATGATACTGTAGATCAAACACGACACAAAAGCACCGCTTTCAGTTTAAACGTACCTAAAAGGAGGACTCTGTTTGTCTGGTGTTGATATTTTGCAGTTCACCCCTTAAACTACTACAATTGAATATCCAGTCGTCGCTAGCTGGTGTCTGAATACTGTGATGTCATTTGTAGCGGGGTAGCCGAGCGCTCGTCACCAGTTTTCTTTCTTAAATTATGGCTATTACAAAATAGCCGTGCTTTTCCAGCTGGTAAAAACAGCTCACCAGACACTCTCTCCCACTCTCCCATGACAGATTTGTGAAATGTTCCACTGTTTGGTGAGTGTTTGTCGCGTTCCAACCATAAAGGATAGTTTAAAACAGCAATTAACCACCCAGGAGCAAAAATCAGCCTTCAAACTTGA